TCCAGAGCTAAAAGGTTGATACAATCAATATAGTAGCTAAATGCTACAATTGGTAGAATGGCCAAAAGTGGCAGAACATTWGCTAAAATAAGCACATAAAGTTTGCTGAAGTAAATTTCAGAGAAAATCATTTTGAAGGAACTGAAAAGATCTGCATGTGTTTTTGTTTCAGGATAAATAAAACGCAGAAGATAATAATCTTGATGGAGCTGAGTGTTTCAATACAAGAATGGGTAAAGTAACAGAGTTAAAAAAAACTTTTCAAACAAAACAGACTAGACAACAGTGTGAAATCTGACTCATCATTTCTGTAAAGAATGAAAACAGATTCACTCCCAGTTGTAAATGTTTTTATTTACATGTCCTGGATCCACATGGGAAGCAAACGGTGAGAGTTGAACATGTAAACATGTTTTAAGGTCACTTAAATGTTGAAACGTTGACYCAAACGGCAGCAACCGGACATGTTGCCCGACTGAATAAACCCGGCATGCAGCAGAACTTTCCCAGCAGCCTCCTTTCACCCAGCAGATCTGATAAATCGGGGCTGCAGAGCCGCTCCCGACGACCTTTTAACTAAGAATAAATTAATTAGTGCAGCAGATGGAGGCTTCCTTTCATTTAACCCTATTTTCTGTTGTCTCACCAACTTCGCCTCTCATAAAACTGAAGGCAAACTGAGCAAACTCTGAGCAGACTCCGACTCTGCTGCAGGATAAATTTAGCCCAGTTTCATTTCCTCACCTCAGAGGTAAAGCATGRAGCCCGTGATGACATGAAACTAACGTGGAGGAGAAGAAACACTGTCAGATGATAGGAAATGTTTACAGAGAAGATCCACAGTGATGCTGAAAGAACTTCACCATCACTGTCTGCAAACAGCAGGAATAAAAAAAAAAAACTAGATTTTACAAACAAAACACCAAGAAATCTGGTTGAAAATGAAGTGAGTTTAGATCAATTTAGGCTAAGATGAATAAAAGCAGCACAGCTTTAAATTCACTCTGGCTTTTCTCTAATAAAGATTCAAGTATTTGCATACAGACCTAATAAGTGGAGGTTCTAGACAGGATCATTTTTGATTATTTTGATTGACAACAGCTAGTATTTTGTATTTGTCAGCATAAAAATAAATAAGAATAATCATCAGATTTGCCGACTCAGATCAAGAACCACAGAGGATCAATCTTCTCGTGTCTGTGGCAGAAACCAATCCGTTTTAATGAACTCTATTACACCAGCAGCTTAATGATGGGAAGTGCTTGAAGTTGAACATGTTAGGAGACATTAAATCCTGCCTGGATGAGAGAAAATCATAGTGAACTCAAACCTGCACAGCTTGCTCTTGTTTAAAAAAAATTAATCAGAGTTTATTCAGATAAAACAGAAATTAGGCTGTTTGAACTAGAAGCCTCAGTCCYAATGTTGTTTGAATCTCCTGAGGTCTGCGCAGAATATCACCGCTCGATCTGTCGACCTAATTATTTCAGTCTGGACCGGCGCGATGGATCAACTGGCTGACACTTCCAGCCCTCCGAGCGACGCAGCTAAAAATACAGACGAGTGCAGCTTTAAAGAGAACCGGAGTCAAACTCCCTGAAGTGAGTGAAGCAGCTGCTTCTGCCTCCGGGCCTCCCCTCCAGGCTTTCTGTGCCAGATCCAGATGTGACGACGGAGCTTTTTAACCAAAAACGCAGCGTAATGTTTTTTTCTTTTTTTATATTTTAAAATGTTTTTGCAGCCGGTCAGCTGACAGAAACATGTTTGTGACATTCAGAAGAGTTCAGCCTTAATGAACCTGAATATTTCAGCAGGTATTTGGTTTTTATGAAGCGTCTCAGTTTTCCTCCCTCCTTTGATGAGCGTCAGAGACGACAGATGGAGAGATCTCAGAGGGGTAATAACTTTATCTCCCATCAGGACCGGTGATAAAAACCAGCAACCTTTTGGTCCCACGTCTGCACCTGAACATTTATCTCCTCTGTAAATCTTAACATTAAGCCTCCAGAGCCTCTTATTTTCTACTACACCTTCAATAAAAAACTAATTATCCCTTATATTTAATCTAAATCTACTGAAAAATGATCTTTTCTTTTATGTCCAACTCTCCACTTTGTTCTTTCACTGAGAGTTTCTCTTCAGAGACATAAAGTTTGTTTGATATTAAAATTACGAGCTAAAAGAGGCCGAAAAACAAAATAAAAGGTCTGTATGATTTAGTAACGTCTCTCAGCTACTACTATATTAAATTATAGACCAATATCTGTAAAGTTCACTGGGTTGTGGTCTTGGTCAATAAAAAGCTGAAATTATCTCAAATAAGTGAATTTAGCATAAAATTAGCTAAATAGTAGCTATAAAACTGAAATTAGCAAAAAGAAATTGAAGTATGTTTTCTGAATTAAGACTAAGAGGCTGAAAAGACCCCCAAAATTTAATTTAAAGGTAGCGCCTATGGCTGCAAGACTTGGGGGCACCTGTTCTCGAACGGATGTTCTGAACTGTAATTTCCCCTTGGGATTAATCAATCAATCAATCAAAAAAAATGAATTTAGCTGAATGACACTCAATTTAGCAAAAAACAGCTAGAGTAGCTGAAAATGCAGGAAAAAAACAGCAAAATGAAGCTAAAATACCATAAAAAGATAAGATTAACAATGAGAAGTAAAAAGCAAATCAAAGCTGATATTAGCAGAAATATGAAAAATAGCTGGAAAAAGCTAAAATAAGCGAAAAGAGAGGCTGAAAGTAGCAWAAAGAAGTTATAAAAGCAGAACCAGAACAATAAGTACAGTAAAGATTCATAAATATTTTTGAAAGGTTTAACTTGCCGAAATGCATTTGTTCAGTTAAGGATCTTGAACTTTACAGTTCTTTGTGTTTGTTTTCTCAGATTTTGTGGAATAAAACTTTAAATTTTAGTTTTGTTCTTTCTRTTTCTATGTTTCATCTGTAAACTGAAATGTTTCCATGTCTAACGAGTCACTCAGAGTCTCCACCTTCATCTTCACTCCTTGGATAAAGAGGCTGGAAAATATATTTAAGAAAAAAAATCCTGTTTTTGTCGGATTAAATTGAATTATTTAGGGTTGGAAAGTAGCCGTCACGGCTCYATGTGCTGCCACGTGCTCCGCAGCAGGAAGTCAGATCTGAGGAGATGAAAATGTTGAGGCTAAACGGTACATTTACTACATCAGGAGGTTTTAACGTGAATTAATATTTAATGCAGCGCCTGAGGCAGATGAAGCTTTTATTTTTGTTACAAATCTATAAGCACCAGCTTGTGTCTTTCTGTTAGTAAAATATTTCATGAACCACTGAATGGATTAAAGATGGCTGCCACAGCCAACAGACTTTAGAAAATGCAAAAAAAGGCTAAAACTGTCAGTTTTACAAATAATTTCCTAAAATTTAGTATAACAGCTGCTGAGAGTTTCAGAACATCCTGAAAGTGTGGCATCACAAGATCATGCATGTTTTCATTTTTAAAAATTAAAACAACAAACTCATCATTTTAAAACATTAATTAGTCACATTTTTCTGCTCCAGTCCATCATGGCTTTGGTTTAAATATCTGCCATAAAAAGCAGCGGGTTATTCCTCCAAAGAGCGAAGATAGAAATCTGTCAAACATGCATTTTTTTCTTCTCCTTGCATAATCAGCTTTTATCTTTTAACATCCAGCCATGTACAGAAACTGTACCGACGCGTGAGCTAGCCCCCCCGCCCCCTCCCCTCAGAGCTGATCAGCTCTGACGTTTCCCAGGATCGTCTGAAACCGGCGCCTGCAGCCTCACAGCCTTTACGCCACACACATCCTGCTGCCTCGCGTCGGCTGCGTTTCAGATCGGAAGCTCCTTTATCTGCTTCGCTGCTTATCTTTTAGTCTGCTGAAGGAAGGCTGCTGGGACGGGTTCGCTTTTAAAAAACAGACTGGACAATAGAAACGAGCACTTCACGAGACTTTCTGAACACGTTCAAAGAACCAAAGGTAGAACAGAACCCATCGATCCTCCACTGGGAGCTCAGACTCCATCTCCTGGTAAAAATCTCACAGTGACAGTGGAATGTCGGGGATAATTTGGTGTCACTGTGATGTTTACGTTYGAAGACGGGTGGACGTGAGGTCCTTGTGTTATGAGCTCATCCTCACCCCCCAAGGGGCCCATCCAGGCTTCCAGTTATGACGCAGAAGAGCCTTTGTACCCCCCCTAAGACCCTGAGTGGACGCAGAACGTTTGGAGCCAGTGCCCAGTTACATCACAACTTAATGTCCTCAAGATGTTTCAGTAATGAGGGACTGTCATGTTCAAATATGAAGCAAACACACCCAGGGACTGTTGAATGAAAAGAAACGAACGTGAGGAAATATAAAATATCTCACTGGGCTGCAAATGTTGGTGAGCATTTAGTGACTGGTGTTGATAAAGGAGACCCTGCTGTGACCGAAAACATGTTCAGGTCAAAGAAAATATGACAATAATAAATAAGAATAAATAAAAAATGGTTCAACGTTTCATAAATGCACTTAGAGTTAGTTATTTAGTTGTGTAATGTCCTTTTGTTGTGAATTAGAGCGATATAAATAAACTGAGGTACACTCAGTTGGATGGTTGGCTGGTTGGACAGATGGTTGGTTGGATGAATGGATGGATGGATGGTTGGATAGATGGATGAATAGATGGTTGGTTGGATGGATAGATGGATGAATGGATGGATGAATAGTTGGATGGATGGATGCATGAATGAATGGATGGATGAATGGATAGTTAAATGGAAAGATGGATGAATGGATGGTTTGTTGGATGAATAGATGGTTGGTTGGATGAATAGATGGTTGGTTGGATGGAGTGAGTTAAAAAAATCAGCACTAGAGGCAACACAGGAGAACATCTGTGCTTTAACGACTGATAAAAGGCAGCTGTATCTAAAACCTTTCAAAATAAGAGACTCTTCACATGCTTTTCAAAATAAAATAACACACTTACAATCCAGATAAGTTGAGTTTTCGCCATCGTTTTTATCAAAACACCATCGACTAAAACAAAATTAATTATCCACGAGAAAGAGTTGCAAGCTGGATCAGCAGTTCTGGTTTGTTCACAGTCCCCAGGTTTTTTTTTTTTTTTAAACACAACAAATAAAGACAACACAAAGATCCAGACTAAACAGAAACACAGCTAAGAATAGAAAAGTGTGCTCACCCAGCAGCTCATTATTTCCTCGGCCAAGTCGAACACTGAGGCGAGTGAGAGCGAGTCTCCACTTGTTCTGTTTGTTACACAAAATGTCTCAAACTGAATTTTATAAAACTGGTGGGGATTTCAAACGTGAGGCAAAAACAGAGCCGTTAAATCTCAGAACAAGTCAGTTAAATTAAATTGGTCAAATATAGGATGAGACTGAAATGATGGCTAAAACTATAAAAATGGATCATTTTCCCTTGTGGATGATGTTAAGTTTAAATTCCTTACCAAAGGAAGGATATTTTATGCAACTGAGCACTGGCTTGTAAAAGGCATTTTCCTGTACTTAAAATAAGTCATAGTAAGCATGCACTTATGAGTTATTAATGAACAAAATGTCTGTTCAAGAGCAGAATCATCACAGCCACAATCTGAAGTGTTTCCCTTTAAAATCCTGCAGGATGAGGAGTGAAAACCTGTTCTGCTGCGACTGCGAGCGACATTCTCATAGAGATTAATCCCCCCCTCAGTCTGCAGCTCGGCTGGCAGGAGAAATAAAAAAATAATAAAACAACACGGCTGCTTTGAAAGGAGGAGCAGCTCTTCATTTAGCACGGTAAACAAAAAGCTTTGAAGTCAGCCATTTAAAACTGGATTACCATGAATAAATAAATCAGCGACTGACGCGACGCTGCTTTAATGAAACCACACGAGAAGGCTGGAGGCTTTGGGTAATCGTTTCAGATCCAAACAACAGAGTTCAGTTCAAGTCGGGGGGGGATAAAGCCCACCTGCTCAGATCTACAGAACCTTTTTTTGTTTAAACTCCGACAGTAACGAATGTCACCGTCTGATCCGACGTAAAAAAAAAAGATTTTAAATTAAACTCCAGGTTATTGATGTCATCTCTGTTCCTGTCTGCGATAAAGAAGAGCCTCACATCCATCACTGTAAAACGGTTAAAAACCTAATAAAGTAGTTTCAAATCAGCATCGTTCTCGCGGGGGGGATGGGGTTCGATAGCAGCTTGTTGGAATCCAGTGTCGAATCAAATCTCATCTCTGCCGTCTGAACGTTCAAATAAATAATAATTCAGGAGTTATTAATCAGTTTTGTTGGCTGAGGCAGGGTATATAAAAAGTTAATTAAATAGATAAATACGATTAGTTCTAAAGATAATCACTGATCCACTCTTGGCTGAGCCTGGTGTCGACATTTTACACGGTTCAAACCTAAAGACAGGTGAAGTGAAATGTTCTCAAAGCGACACGTCAGATATTTCACCGTAACGACAAATTTTTCAGCACCTAGTTTGATGTATTCTGATGGAAGACATAAAAAATAAAGTTTGGAGGCATCTGGAGAACACCTCGAATAGGAACTCAAGCAAAAACGTGTCCTTTTTACGTTAAATATTAAATAAAATTAGCGTTCACCTGGGAGTATCTGGTTTTTGGGGGTTGCTTGTTTCTTAGTTGAATATTTTAATCATCACTCCTCATTATTTCAAATTACACACCTGAAATCTAGAGTTAACACGAGGGGTGTAACAATACATCAATATAGATCCATAAATCAATTAAATGATTAAATTGAGGCAAAATGAAAAACACGGCTCCATCATATGCCCAACTCGGTTGCAGACATGTGAATTAAATTAAATCTAAATTATACCATGAAACATGGTATTGTGATAAATCTGATTTACACCCCTCGTAAACACCAGAACAAGAAGCTCTTCCTCCTGGATTTAGTTGTTTGTTACTAAATCAGAACTAATAAAGAGAGATGAACAGATTTCAGAGATTTGTTTCCAGGGTTCTGATTGGACTGGCTATCGCAGCTCATCCCCAGTGCGTCCAGCCTCATCGCCTCTGACCTGTTTCACGGTTTCATGGTTACAGCTGAGCGTCATGGATGGAGAACAGAAACCGAGGTCTTCAGTGTTGCCGGTCTGGGTCTCGACAGTCACCGCTTGGTCTTGGAAGACCTCTCGGTCCATCTTTTGAAATCGTCCTCAGCCCTGGCTGGGGCTTATCGGTACGGCGGCTCGGGCTGCTGGGGGTTGGGTCTGTAGAGCTGCTGCACTCGAACCGGCCGCCCGTTGGCCGGCCAGCCGCCCGACAGCTGTCCGATGACCCTGAGGCCCACCGGCTGGCCGTGTCCCGGAAGCGGGTTGCTGGGGCTCAGGACGTGGGTCTGTCCCAGCTGGGGCTCGGGGTGGGAGCTGCTCCCTTGGTGGACAGGAGCCGATGCTGGCGGGGACACGGGGTAATGGGGGACGAGGATGGCCGGCGTCAGGCCGTAGCGTACTTGGAACACCCTGAGGGGTCCCTGTGCCACAAAGCCGTTAGGTCGCTGGGGTTCCGGAGGCTGCTCAGAGTCCTTCTTCACTCCCAGGACTTGGTTCTCCTCGGCTCGCTTGGCTTTGCTCGGCTGCCTCTTGGCCCGGACCGCCTCTTGCATCTTCTCAGCCTGAGCTCGACGGATGTGATACGTCCTCCTGGAGCTTTGAAAGGAATCCAGGAACTCATCTAGGCTCACGTTCCCCTCCATGAATTTCTCCAGCAGCTCCTGTGAAGCAGGGCAGACACACAAACCGCATCAGAAGACAAGAAAACCCACAGGAGGGGGTCCAGCTGCAGGGAAACCAAGGCCACAAACAATAAAGAGGATTTAATCAGATTGGGGGTGTTCTTTAAAGGGATCAATGATTAGTTGTAACATTAGACTTTATTTGATAAACATACATTTTAACTGTAAAATAAAGACTGTAAAAATACTGTAGGATGTTAATTTTTTTTATCATTTTAAAACTAAAAGTTAAAAAATATATTACACGGACAGGGCCATTTTATTTCCACGCAAAGCATTCTGGGTAAATGATGACGTGGATAGGTCCTCGGTGCGAGGCTGCTAGCGAGCTATATCCACCCTGAAGGTTAATCTGGGACAACATCTGATGATCGACTCTTTTAAATGAAACCAGAGAGCGTTGACAGAGAGGAGAAGGTAGAAATGACTCAGCCTGGAACTGAAAATATGGATGGAGGACAACAGAGCTGCTTCATGGAAGAAGAACCTCAGCTTAGCCTGTTAGCTTTAGCGCCAACGCTATCACCATATACATGTATTAGCTCAGCGCTACACATTCTCCTCTCGTCACTGAGGTCCTCCATCCACATGACAGAGAGGGGAACACAAAAATGACTCAGCCTGCAACTGAAAATATGGATGGAGGACCTCAGCTTAGCTTGTTAGTTTGTCGCGCTAGCATCGAGCTAATACATATAAAGGCAATATAGCGTTCTTCAGGGTGGATATAGCTCGCTCACACCGAGGACCTATCCACGTCATTTACCCAGAATGCAAATGGCTCCGTCTGTGTTAAAATACATTTTTTAAATTTTACAAAACTAAACAGCCTACAGTATTTTTACAGTCTTTATTTTACAGTTAAAATATATGTTTATCAAATAAAGTCTAATGTTACAACTAATCCTGGATCCCTTTAACATTGGCTCTCGTACTGATTCATGTGGCAGGACTCTGCCACATGATTCGTCTCTGTTTGCCCCGGAGTGTGAGAAGCTTCATTTAATCAGTTTTAATCACAGCCACAGATTTAAYCCTGATCAGTTTGTCAAACAAACAATCAGCCTTTCTCCTCATTCTGGTGAAACGTGTTGATTTTATATATGTGTGTCCACACGTCAACAAAGAAAAATGAAARGTTAACCTGATAAAAGTAAATCCATGAGCTTTTCATGACTCAGCAGTTTGCAAGGAAACCCCKAAAAAAAACTGTCACTGCGAAAACTTCAAAAATAAAAGAAAAAACACAAAAGCACATGATTAAAATCCTGTGTCAGTTTAATTTGAATAAGTGGAGAAAAACTAATAAATAATTAATTCATTGTTGTTATAGCTCAAACTGCAGATTACTGATCTCAGTCTTCATTAAAAAATGCCACACGTTTCAATTTTCTGGTGTTTCTGATATTTAAAAACAGTAATTGTTTACATAAAACTGTTCAGGGTTTCCTTTTTTATTGTTCCGTTAACATTTTCTTGCTTTGAAAATAAAAATAGTGTATTGTGTTTAATTTGAGGTTTTTAATCAGTGTTCGACTGAAAAAGTCTGAATTTATTTGCTGTTTTTTGGTGCATCAGATCAAACTAGTCGGACTAAAACCTTTTTTAGACTGATTAGTGATATTTGTCTGTGTATAAAAAATGTTCATATAAAATATTTATATTGTTCTTCTTCCCTCCTGATGMCCTCACAGAGGGGAGCCGTCTGAGGGGGCCGAACACCTGGTGAGGACGCCCCCTACAGGCCCCGCCCCCCTACAAAGGTTAATGACACGTCCAGATGGTCAGACCTGGAGGTCAACCCAGAACTCCCAGAAGGGACTAAAACATTTAAATTAACTACATTTAAAATTTATGATTCATTTATATTTCAGTAGATTTATCTGAGGTGTTTTTTATTCCTATTTGAGCAAAAGATGAACCAAATTAGACCCTCCTGTTTGTTCCCCAACTGCTTTAATAAAATAATCTCTTTGAATGAAAGAAAGAAAACCTCTCTTCACCTCTGCTCTGCAAAACAAATCAACTCGGGTGGGTTTGGAGGCTGACAGGAGTTTAGATTTATTAGGACGACAGAAAACGACACGTTTCAGTTTCCTTCATCAGATGAGTTTGTTCATGTTGCAGCCTGGCGGGGAGTCTTCAGGTCTGAATATAAATCTGACAGAAAGGCCAAAAAAACGACAAGATTTTCTAGATTTTATGTTCTCTCGGTGCCGTAACTGTGACTCAATGGGTTTTTTTGTATGAAGACACAGTTAAAAACTGCTGTGAGGCCAAAGAACAGCCACGAAAAAGAAATTATTTCCCACTGAGACAACGACCCTCTGAGACCCCACTGATTCAGGCGTTTTAACTCAGAAGCTTTGATCAAAAAGTCTTTCATTATGCAATAATTACCAACCACATTTTATTTAATATGTGACTTAAAAACTTAATTAACCAGTTTGGCATTGAAAAAACAGCAGATCTGTGTCATTTCTCCTGATGTGTTCTGAGGCTTTTCATTCGCCGTCGCTTGTTGAGGCTACTGGTTTGACTTTAATCAATCAGACGGCAGCCGATTGGAGGAGAAAGTCATGAAGGTATCGATCGTAGGTGGGCTGCGAGGATCAATATGTGCCTGCAGCAGCTGTGGGTTTCATCTGTTAATAACGTCTGGAACATGCTGCCTGTAGGTAGATATTAGCATCAGCCTCACCCCATGTGGAGCAGAGGATTGTGGGTACTTAGGCGGTGCAGACAGATTTGTGTTCTGCTTTAAAAACAGATGATGTTGGTCAGAGCTGGTGACTTCTCTTTTCATCAATTAAACAGTAAAAACAACGTTAATTATGTTTAAAACTTTCAACTTGAATCAGATTTAAGTTAATTTTAACCAGCAGTTTATCTGAAAAAAAGCAGATTTACTGATTATACAAATTAAGGTATAAAAATGCTGCTTTTTAAGCGTAATGTGTAAAATTTAATTTAATTTGACAAGTCAAAACCTTAATAAGATTTAGGCTTAAACCTATTTTTCTCTTTAACAAACTGTAACTTTTAGTATTTATAACCTTTGTACTTATAATATTAAACTTTATTMACAAATATTAGAAATAAGATCTCCTCKGTTCCTTCAAAATCAATGTTCTCTTGTCAAAAGTTTAATATTCATCTACGTTCAGATTTTGAGCTAGCCGTATGCTAGTTTTAGCTTTGTTATTTTTAGTTAGCATTTTGCCATCTTTAGCTTCTGGCTAGACTCATACTTTTTAGCTTCTACTTTCATCTACAAGCTACTAATTTCATTTTTAGCAAATTATTTGGTATTTAAAGCTATCAGTTAATATTTCTGATGTTTCTAGCTAGCCTTTTGCTACTTTTAGCAACTCATTTGCTAGTTTAGTTTTTGGTTAACCTTTCAATTAAGGTTTTAGCCAACTATGTTGCTACTTTAAACTTCTAGCTACTGTTTTGCACCTTTTTAATTTAAGCTAGCCTTTTCTCAATTAATTAATGTTTTGCTTCTTTTAGCTTTGAATTTATTTACAAATATTTTCACRGTTTTCATTTGAGTTTTTATTGAATTTCCTTTAAACTAAAGTCTGATTCTGCTTCATTCTAAAACCCGGTCCAACCRTGAGCACGTGTCTCTGATGAACTGGGTTGTGGTGCCYCCATGCTGCTGGGCGGCTTGGTTGKTTTAAAACACGCCTTGAGGTTTTAACAAATTCAGAGGTGGGTGGGCTTGTTGCCTTTTTCCCCTCCTCAAAAACTCCCTGCCACACCGCTGCCGAAACAAAGAAACTCTGTTTTGACTGGCAGAAAGAACAAAAGAACCAGGATCCTGTGAGTTTTCCTCACCTCTGATTGTTCCTCAGCACGTGCCACCTCCTCCTGCAGGAGGTTCTGCGCCGTCTGCAGGCTGTGCTTCTGGTCGCGAGCCTCTGCAACGACAGACAAACATCACTGACGCATGCAGGGTGATGAAGCATGACTTCACTGGAGCTGCAGCAGAAAAACCCACAGAAACAAGAAACCGCAGCAGAGAAAGTTATTTTCCAATCACAAAGAGCCTTCGTGGTATGTGCTGATGAGGGGACGGAGTGGACAGTTTCTGGCCAGAAAAAACAGGAAAATGGGCTCAAAATATTCCATTTTGGTCTATTTTAGGAGACGGGTCTCGATTTTGTCTGACCAAAAGGCTCAATTTATTGTCAAAGTTGCATTTTTGCCTAAAAATATTATTAATTTCAATGAGAACTTTAATGAAGCTCTTATTAAATCACTCCTACTGTGATTCTGACCATGTATTTTAATTATTTATGTTTATGGCAACACAATAAAACATGCAGGAAGAGTTAATACAAAGAGCACGGTAACCTGTCAGAAGATTTAAACATCAGCATCACATCTGCTTCTGCAAGCTTTCAGATGAGTTTCTCTTTTCTAAAAAACGATTTATGATGTATTTGATGTAAAGCAGATTAAATTGATGGTGAGCAAACTGCAGAAATGTTCTGTTTGTGGGGAAAAAAGTGGTAAAGATTATCATTTTTCCAACTCCTCAGGATTTAATTTAATAATCCAGCAGGTTGATGATAAAAAAGCACTGCCAGATACTTTAAGGAATATCAGAATACATTCTTTGAAAACGTATTTGCTGTAAATGTTGCGTGTTGTAGATGRTGAAAATAAACACAGTGTGACATAAGCTCATGTACAAACTGAAGGTCAGAGCTGATCCAATAAGCTAGTCTGGATTAAAAAAAGACTCCCTCTGGACTTTGTCTGACCTCCTTTTAGCAAAAATACTCCCAAAATCCAAACAGTTAACAGAAACCCTCTGAGCTTGAAACATATAAACAGATGTTACTTTTTAAACGTTAATCTGACAGGAAATTAATATTCTTCCTGCATTCTTATTAGTAACGTATGCCCTACTGATGGCTAAGAAAGCAAAAAGAGATTCCTGTAGTATAGATTATTTAAAGTATTTATCCTAAGTACCAATATTTGAATCTTGAAAATAAGAGCATCAGAAATAACACTTAAGTTACAAACACGATAAAAAAATTTATCAGTGTAGACAAACTTCTATTGGACATATATTGTATTTGTGTCAGATTAAAATAAAACTGGACCAATTGTAATCTTTTAAATTATAATAATCTGTCATGTAGGAGTTTGATTTTTGTTTGTGATGTGAAAAATTTCGGGTTCAGATCCCGGACAAGCCCCCAATTATTGTTACAATGCGACTTTTTGGGCTGAAAAATAAAAATGAGATAAGTGCATGAGCAAAATTAATTAAAAAAAAACAGGACTGTAACCATCAACTCAACACAGATTAAAGATGAACCTTTTTTTTATAAAAGAAAAACTGTGGCGATAAGAACAAAACTGTATTTATTATCCGTTCATCTGCGATCTCACATTTAAATTCCTAAACTACATTGAAAAACTAAGAGTTTTATTGTAACTAGCAGCCTTCAGATCTGGGCCCAGTGTGTCTGATAAGCTTGTAAACAGCTCTCTCGCAGCGTGTCCTTGCCTCCTGGGCATTCTGCTCAGTAATCATTCTGAACGGGATCTGACCTATCTGACTGCAAAGTGTGTCTTGTCCCTCGAAGACACGATGTGACAACCACGCCGTTACCCGACAAGTCAGACTGAGTTCAGCAGAGACCGGGGGGCAAAGMAAGGTCAATGAAATGACTCTAATAACTCTAAGCCCTGCGGGGAAATCTCCACCCCCACATGGAGGCAGATATGAGTGGAGGGAAAATGGTAATGTATGCTGGCAATCCTTTTCCCAGACAAGATGTTGTCTTTAAATCTTCTAAGACCGGAGCTCCATAAGCGGGCAGTAAAATGATTTATTTTACTCTTTGCTGAAGATAAACTATCTGTAAAAAAGCTTCATGAACAATAATTCATCACAGCTTCTCCATTAAGCTTTCTATTATGCCGTCGCCTCTGCATTAATAATCCATAACTGCACCTTGCAGCGTTCTGGCCATCGCTGTGAGAACATCAAGTCTGCTGCATTAAAAAGCAGGCAGGCATTAAGGGACGGCCTTGTTCCTGACCCAGTGCTGCAGATGCTGGGGGAGGGCGGGGGGARATAACGAGAGGTGACAGCCGAGCAAACAAACACTCCTAGAGCAGCTGTATGCGACCTATATTTGTGAAGCTGACAGGGGAAGTAGACCTGAGGGGGGGTGCTTAGTACAGCACAAAATTTACTTAACAAGTGAATGGTGTRGGGGACAGAGTCACACATTTTTTCTGAGAGCTGCTATGAGACAATGAGAAGGGGAGGCGGTTGCTCTGTTGCTGGGAGAGCCAATGTTTGGGGAACTCAACACACTTCTCAACTGAAGAACTGGCTTATTCCTGAACTCATAACCCGGTCCTCATGGAAACGCAATATTTCTAAAGTTATCTTTTTATTTGTAATTTCTAAGAACAACCTTGTGAACACGGCACAGATTCTAAAAATGTTTTCATACACARGAAAACACCAAAACACCTTACAAAATACTGTAGTGATCATGCTAGACAATGCACAGAAAGCTTACACACTTAGCAGGAAATGAAGAGGAAGAAGAATAAATAAATAGAACATATGTGAGACTATGATATCATTGTTTTTAAATGGTGTGTTCAGGCTGTTTACARGAAAAATGTGCTGTTTCAAAACTTATATGTTGTTGTAAATGTCACGTTGGAGCTCCTAAAACACGTGTGGGCTTTTCTGTGACCCACAAGAGCTTCTAAGATGTTTTCTCATCTTAAAATACYCGTATGCTTCTTTAAAGACAGCATTGACTATAAACTGCATCTCCCACAATGCATGTGGATGARTTTACCCTCAAAATTATTTATGATTATTAAACCTCTATTTAACCAGGAAGATCTCATTGACATTAAAAATCTCTTTTTCAAGAGAAACGTGGAAAAATGATAGGATCCCACCATTAGGTGAAGCTGCACAGGGTTAAATTTAGACTGGAARGTCCCCTCAAGTGGGTATTTCTTGTTGGAAAGTGGGAGAAGTCACAATTCAAGACATCGGCTACCAGTAGTAGACACAGTTTTGATAGTTAGCTAACAACTAATAGCGTAATTAGTTTTTATGTTTAGTGCATCAGCTTTTTCACATTGAAAACCGTTAGTGGACCAGTTGGAGTCCACTAAATTAGGTTTTGCCAACTTTAGGTCCGCTAACATCTAATGAGCTAATATCAACAGGTTTGGGTCTTCAGTTTGAAGGAGACGTAGATATGTGACGCAGAGTGAGACAGTTGTCTCTGTGAAAATGAGTTTGACTCTCCAGTCCTAAAACAATGTTTCTGTGTAGATGAAAGGAAGAAAAGTGCTTTTTCACAAAAAACTTTCCATGTAGGCATCCCCTTAATACTTCATCTCTCTCTCCTGAGATGCTCTTAATTGTTAAAAAAAAATCGAATCTTTGAAAACCATCATCCATCCATCCATCCATCCATCCATCCATCCTTGTTCCGAGGTTGCAGTTCAAAACAGATTTCCAACCTTCAGAGATTCAAAAAGAAAGAAATCAACCACATTCAATTCATCCTGCCATCGGTGAACAGTCACTTTTCAAACCAATTACTTCTTTTCTTTCTCAACACCTAAACTCAAAGATAACAGAGCCTTTAAAGCCATGGATCARTGATTTAAAATAACTCGCCTGAGGCTGTCAGAACAACAAACACTGTGATTTAAAGAAACAACAAAACTTTTCTAAAAGCTTCACAGAGATTTATTTATAAGATGTGTTTTGATGTTGTATTGATTTGTTGCATTTAAACACCATTTGTGAAAGCAGTAAAAACGTTATTACTGTTGGAAAAATGCAGAGATATTTTGCTTCCTCACAATGACCAGACATCTGAGCGTGTTTCTGAACTCCTGCTGAACAGGTCAACGGATATTAAAAGTTAAAAGGACCTCGACAGAAGYATAAGATCTGCTGTCAGCTGCTGACATCCTGAATTTACAGATGTCTTGTTTTTACTGCTGCAGGTTTACAGTCAGCAGTAAAATCCTTTACAGTGATTTAAGGTGACGTGGAGTGTCTGAATGGATCTGGCACCATGAGAACAATGATGGGTATGACAATTCTGTTCTGTAGGCTGAGCAGGAAGCTCTGAATAAAATGGCTGAAATGTTACCAGGCCGCTGAGACCACTACAGCCCCCCCGGTGAGCCATGAGATAATGCATCTTCTGAGAAAAAAAGATGTATTTGTTCTGTGGGAGGAAACTGGAGAACCAAAAGGGAGAAAATAAATAAAGGCATGGTATGAGGGCCAAAATTAAGACTATTGTGCAACCAGCAGTTGCTACATCCTTGTAGCAGGAGGCCATATCTATTCCTGAGCCAGRTATGGATCTGATGAATGATGGGCCTGGCACTGGACATGGAGAAGGAGACTATTTATTTGTGTTAGCATTGGAGAGGCTAGCGACTATCATGGATAGGCTGGTGTTAGCATTTGAAAGGCTAGCGACTATCATGGATAGGCTGGTGTTAGCATTTGAAAGGCTAGCGACGATCACGGATAGGCTGGTGGTAGCATTGGAGAGGCTAGCGACCAGCATGGATAGGCTGGTGGTAGCATTGGCCTGATATGTACAGTATGCACACTGTAAACATCTGAACACTGAGCTTTATCTTTCAGCTGCAGTCCGTGTGTGTGTGTGTGTGTGTGTGTGTGTGTGTGTGTGTTTCATATGATTTAATGCAGGTAAACACAGTGTATCGGTGTGAATAATGGCACCAGGTTTTAACGCAGCACTTCACAGATATGAGGTTTAAGATTTATCGCCGCGCAGCCGTCAGCTGCAGAGATTTAAGAATCTGGAGAAGAAGAAATGTTTTTATACAAGCTCGACTAAGAAGAAGAATATTCCTATAG